ATATTAATTAAACTGACAACAAATAGGAATTATGAATTATATGATGTCTTATTCTAATCGTCAACTTAGTTTAGATCCATTAGTATAGAAGACATCCAAACTAAATTACTACAAACAGGCCGTAACTAGGATTTTAGTAAGGATCGAGGTGCACGCTTCCGAGGGCGCGAAGCGTCCGAGCAGAGGGAGGGATGGGTCTGGGAGGGTATTGTTCCCAAGGGACGGCGGAGCATCTTCCAAGGGGGGGGGGGTGGGAAAAGGGGCACCTACAAAGGGAAATCTCTAAGAAAAAATATAAAAATGTTAGACATACGGAATATACCCCTACATTGTGATAATATTACCAATGATGATAAGTCAATATTTGTTCCTCTTTTGTAGTTGGGTGTGATGATTTGACTATTATATTGCGAGCGAGCAAAACATTTAAGACTTGTGAGGTCGAAGTGCGAAAATTACATCTTATATATATATATATATATATATATATAAAGACAAAATATTAAAATCCTGATAGGGTTTTAAGCACATTTTAGGGGAAAATTTAAGAAAATGTTGCTCTTTAGTAGCTGTAAATAAGGGGCACATGTTATTGAGAAATGAAAAGGTGACGCTTATCAGAAGGGAAAAGGACCCTTCTAAAAATACAAAAGGAGCAACTGCAAAAGTAAAAAGGGTAATTGTCACATGTGAAAATGGGGCACTTCTCGCAGCTTAAAAAGAGCACTCACCGGAAATGGAACGGGGCTATATAAAGAATGAAAACGGGGCATTTGTCGAAGGAACATGGGCACCAATCAGATTTTAATAGGGCCATTTATAAGAGGTGAAAAGGGACATGTAATGCAAAAGGAAGAGGCTCTTATACAAAAAAGGGAAAGGGGCACTTATCAGAAGTAAAAGGAGCACGTGTCAAAATAAAAGCGGCACTTATCAGAGGTGAAGAGGGGCACTACTCGCACTTGAAAAAGGGCACTCATCAGTCATGAAAATGGGGCACTTACGAGTTTGTAAAAGGGGCAATCATTAAAGAAAAAAGGTTATTTGTTGAAGGAAAATGGGTACCTATCGGATTTTAATTGGGGAAATTATTAGACATGGTAAGGGACACCTATCAGAATAAGGAATGGGCACATATTAAACAGAAAAGGGGGCACTTATCTGAACTAAAAGGGGGCATTTTTTCCTATCTAGAAAGGGACACGTTTGGGGTACTAGAAAAAGTGGAGGAATGTGTCCTCTAACCCTCGAAAACGCCGCCTCAGCCCTCCCCCCCCCCCTGCCAGGGACTATGTCCTACCTATTTTGCTCTCATTGCTGCATCGTTTCCTTTACCCATTTATCCTTTTGGTTTTTTATATTTTTTAACCTTTCGTCGCTAGCTGAGAGGAGAAGGCTGCTTAAGCATACTCCCTTCCCCCATCGACCCCCTTAGTTACGGGCCTGATACAGAATTACAGTCTTGTTTGTGTTGCTTTTTTTCCGGCAAGAGCCAAGAGTGCACGCACAGATTGTCTGCCCCACACTTTGGACACTGCCAAACGTGAAAATCAGACTATTTACAACTGAAGAATTATAGACTGGTATGGGCTTATTTTTTCACAAAAAAGTAAGATAATACTTTCAGCCAGGTACCTGTGCATTTTCAAAAATCGTAGGTTATAGGGACATATTTTAAAATGTGTTTTTGATATATACTGTTTTCCAGGACAGCGTCTTGACATAGTTGGTTAAACACCCTCATTAAAAAAAAGAACTTTATTCATATGTTCCATTCAGTGGAGATCGATGACCTTACAATACAGGTTAGCTGTGACCTTTCTTATGTACGTGCAGTGCTAATAACATTGCAGTATTGTTTTGTTTGGAAGATAGAGCATATCTACTAAATTGCAGAGAATGTTTCAAGTGGCGTTGAATAGTCATCGTTTTTTTAATAATATACCAGAATCAAGTAGTTAAATATATACAGTTTCAATCCATAAGCCCAAATTTGTAGTCCATCGACTGGAACACTTGAGGAAATTGCAACAAATTTATAATGACCTCTCAACAGTCTATAATTTGAAAACGGCGTAGAGCCACCAAAATTTGCAAACTGGGTGGTAACGCGCAGTTCCTCAGCGTTCTGTCGGTGATTCTTCTGGATAACCGGTTAATCAGGTGGAGGCATCCCTGCCTGCTGAACCTATGCAACTTGAACATTTGTTCGTCGTCATAATAGGTCCAAGGGATGCCTCCGATCCCGAAAAACCCTCTCTCTCCTAAGAGCTGCGGCGTGTTGTATTGCATGCAGTATGGCAGCCATCTTGGAATGAAAGCTTACCGTAATTGAATGATGATAGTTAACACTACCTTCATAGCTGAAGTAATGTTACCGCTATTTCTGAAGTGCTTACCGCTAAGAAAACTACGTTAACTCTTTAAACAATGAAAAGTTAGCCCTAAAATTAAATTTAACGCTGTTTCTGGACTTACCGCCGAAATAGGGGCTTAACGCTACGTTAAAAGTTGTATGCATGCGGGTATACGTGAGTCCGATGACCGCGTAATGAAAATGTAGTTCTGTGTAGCGCCTAGAGACATATTACATGCTTTAACTTAAGCTACATATAATCCTAGATTAATAAAGGCTTCCATCCATGCCGTATTCAGGATACTGAAGTACACTTAGCGGCTCCACATAGGCTCATCTGTAAACATCGAAAAGAGCCTAATCTTTTATTATTTTCCGGTTATTAGAATAATTTGTCTTTATTGTCAAATTCAAAAGCACAAGTCAGTTGAGACGTCTTTAATTATATCCATGGTCAAATCGCTGGATTATAATTAGTTTTGTTTACATCAAAATGACGGTTATCACAATTGCTGGATAATCTTTAGTGAAACTACTTAATTGTTTTCTTCATATAATCACTGGAATTAAAAAGTGGGATGAATTCATTGTAAACATAATCAAAAAGCCTTCCAGGTTTCTGTAGAATGGAATTAATGTTTGCATAAACTCGGTTTATAATGTGAATGGTAATATGTTTCTATTACAAACAGCTGCATTACGCAACTAGCGCTATTGTGCTGTAAAGCTAAACAGAACAAAAAATAGTAATTTTGTGTCTTTTTTTCCTTGAACCTATTATATATCTACAGCTCTAACAATTTAGGAGGATGTTAAGAATCGAAAGTTTGTTTAGCGCTTATTCTGAACATGTTTTTAGATCTAGTCATAAACATAGCCAGCACTCCGATATGTTAAAGGGACAGCTGAGTTTCGTTGCAGAGGACGCTACATAAAATAATTTGTTGTGAGATAATGAAAAACTGAGTATCCAATTTGAAAGAACATACAACTTAGATGACAAAATCATCTTGTTTGATCAAAATCGGTTAAGAGACGGTTGAAATATCCATAAATATAACCAATTTTGAACCAGCCATTGTGGGAAAAATGAGATAGCGCTCAAACATTTTTAATTCAACCAATGCCAATGCTTTTTCGTGTTGATGTTAATACGCACAACTAGCCGGTCCATTTATTGTTATTATTTAACGGTCACCGTACTTTGTTAAAGTGGAGCTGAATTGATCGTATCTAATCTCAATTTCACACATTTTGGGGTCTAAAATTACCTTCATAGCAATTTTTGGTCCTTAAAGGCACTGCAATGTCATAACTAAGAATAGGCACCCTATTTCCCAGTTTTTCGTATTTAGCCGGACCATTTTTTGGCATCGAAATTGTGCCTCGTGTATGATTTGTTTCCATTATCATACTAGTCAAAATGACTTTTCCATTGTCACCCTTTCTCTCCCTCTCTCTCCCTCTCTGTCTCTCCGTTCTCTCTCTCTCTCTCTCTCTCTCTCTCTCTCTTTGTATCTCTCTCTCTCTCTCTGTCTTCTTATTTGCCTCTATCGGTCGTTTTTTTTCTCTTTTCATGTTTGTTGCTTTCTCATCCTTATTTGCTTAATCTACCATCCTCAATCATCCTTGTCATCCTGCCAATGTTCTTGTTTGTTCTACATTTGACATTGATCTACATATGCCACTCTCCACCCAGGTGTTAAATGGGTACCCGGTAGGATGCGAAAGCTAATGTGATTAGATTAGCAAGTGTGCGCTTGTAAAAATGACGCCTGGCTGGAATGCTCCACAGGGAGTGGAGAATGTGCATATATTGTGTGCGGGTCAAAGCCTGAATCCAATGACCGGGGTAATAATATACTTATCTGTAAAGCGCTTTGAGAGGGCCTCTGGTCCTGAAAAGCGCTATATAAGAACGAGCTATTATTATTATTATTATTGCTTTTGTTTCGTCTTTGTGTCCATCATGTTTCTTTGAATCCTTAATATTTCAGTAAATTCATTATGAATGTATACAGATTAAATTAGTATTGTGCAAACCTACACCTAGCAAGCATTACTTTCAAGTGGGTTCGTTCTTCATTTCGTGTAAATAAATAACTTTGTATTACAAGACCAAAACAAAAACAATGTCAACAATATTTTGATGCTACTTTTGTGTTATATCATTATGTTTATTACTGTTATTATCTTGTCATTGGTTATATCATGTGGAAAACGAAATAAATTTGATCTACATATAGCGACCACAAGGCCTACTACTAATATTGATATAACTGACAGCAAAAAGAGATGTATGTCTTATAAGTATGATGTCGAATTTTAACCGTAATCTTAGTTTAGATGCATTAGTATGAATTACATGCAAACTGACATACTATGAACAGCCCCGTAACTAAGATGTATAAAGTGGGGGAGGCGTACACATTATATAATGTTGACACTTTCGAGGGCGCGAAGCGTCCGTGCGGTGGGGTTGGGGTTTGGGAGGGAGTTGTTCCTTAATAGGGCGACGGAACGTCTACCAAAGTATGGATGGCCAACAACAAAAAGGGAACTTTCTGGAAAAAGGGGCACCTACAAATGATAGACTCAATGCAAAAATATGTTATTTTAGTCATTGGTATATACCCCTACATTGTGATTACATTACCATTGATGATGAGTCAATATATTTTCTCTCTTTAAACGGTCCAAGATACTGCTTAAGTAACATACTTTTAGATCGGTGTGATGGTTTAAATATTATATTGCGAGGAGCGAAGCAAACGAGCAAACATGTTAAGATGTTTGATATCGCAATGCGAAAATTACATCTTATAAAGACCCCAAACAAATTATGATAGGTTTTTAAGCACAATCTTTTCATAAAAGTAACATATAAAGCTATAACTATAACTATATGAAGCGAACTATTGGGGAAATTAAAGAAAAATTTGCTCTTAATCGCTGCAGATTAGGGGCACATGTTATTGATAAAGAAAAAAAGGGGACACTTATCAGCAGGGAAAATGACACTTATGTGTCTGAAGAAAAAGCGTACCAATATTGTTTTCGTATAGTTGATTAAAGAAAGTATTAAAGTTCCTCTCCTTGGTGGTTTGATATATTACATTTAATTTTTGTAATGCCATTCAACAGTAATTTCAAAATTGTTAATTCTAACTGTGTACTACCTATGTTGTTCTCATTGTTCCATTATATCGTTCACCCATATCAGACTGAGCATCATCATCCTAAGATTGTTTTCTCTTCTCTTTTTAAACCGACCTAGTATTTATGGAATAACGTAAACTGCCTCGCGGCTTCGATCCAAGCTTTATAGTTGGAATGTTGGCTTATTAGGTAGAAATAATACTCTTTAAGAATTTTATGTTTCACTTTAAGTATGACTCAATTTGTTTGAACGTTCTCATCACTCGCTTTATCCTGGATAAATGCCACGCCATGGGTAACGGTTAAAAGCCATCAAGGGTTCATCAACTGAGCTAGTGATCTCCGTCTGTTCGTGAAGAAAAAAAAATTGATCAATACAAGAGGTAGTTTCGATATCCGATTATAGTGCCTTTGTTAATTATGTAATAATTCCGTATTGTGTCAGTGTGCGTGAAATGCTTCACCATTTCAAAAGAAGATTGGCAAGGCTATTAAAATTGCACCCAGGTTGTTATTTGAAATTATTTGCGATCGTGTCAATGATCAAATATTTATGTTTATCCATTTTTAAACACATTGAAATTCTTGTTCTGTCTTCCTTGACACGATCTCCATAATAAATTCTATATAATCAATATCTTGAATTCTAAGCAACAACACGAATAATAATTTGATCAATCACGCAGTAATTATCTTGATTTGAACCCCTGCGTTAAAAAGAAATCAATTTGTATCATAGCTTTCATCATAGCTTCAAGAAAAAGTGTACCAATATTTTTTTCGTATAGTTAATACAATTATTAAAGTCCTCTGCCTGGCGGATTGATATATTACATTTCATTTTCAAAATGTAATACTAAGCTGTGGTAAAGACGGAATATAGATTTATAAATGTTATCAAAAAAAAATATTTACTTCCTTCAGAGAAAATTCCACTCTACCGTGTGAGTCCAAAAAAAGTTTACACCTAGAAAATTGCTAATTATTTAAAAAATCATATATGAAAAGTAAATTATTATATCTTATGAAAGAGTGTTTTATCCCAAATCATTTGGTATCATTTTTGTGTGGTATGTGTTCACGCTTGGATGAACAGGATGCATTTTTGGCGAGAGTGCAAAAATCGACTTGCACCAAAGTGATGCCTACAGCATGTATTATGTTGGGATTAGCAGAGTGAGAGAATGAATTGAACGTATCAAACGAAATGCATTGCATAATGTTTTTTGCAGAAGCAAAGTTACACACACACACACGCGCGCGCGCACGCGCGAAGAAATGTTCGTTGATATTGATATTCGATATTTGATATGTGTGGCATGAATAATTTTGTTAGGGATGTTATTTGGATCTGCAAACTGCAAAGACCGAATACCCAAATCCCAATTGTTTTATTCAAACATCACATAAGCAACTTTGGCGCAAGTCGATTTTTGCACTCTCCAAACAATTCCTCATGTTCATCCAAGCAAAAACACGTACCACACAAAAATGATACCAGATAATATGGGATAAAACACTCTTTCATAAGAAGTATAATAATTTACTGTTCATAGATAATTCTTAAAATAATTAGCAATTTTCTAGGTGTAAACTTTTTTGGACTCGCACTGTTTATCAATGTGAAATCCACTCATATCGTGCCATTATGGTGGGCCTCACACTACCAGACACTATACGATCCACTCAAAGATTTCTGTTTCTTCACCGCACATTGTACGGTCTCCTGCAATCTGATTTTCAAGGAAGTTTCATTGGATTTGAACAACAAATATCATCTTCCCGAATGAGATAGTGACTAACAATCTTAATAGTAATAATCAAGAGTTGTTCGTGCATTTTAGCTCCCGAATGGGCGTAAAGCCAAATCGGCTTCAAATTATAAAGGATCTCGCAACTGATAAGACGTCACTACTATTCTGAGCCGATATGAGTTTTACTCCGTCAAGGAGGCCTGCAGACTCCTACATTGTTATTTAATAATTCATGTAAGCATTATGAAATTCGGTTACAAGTATTTTACATGCTTGAATGTTCATGTCGAATATTTTTTTTCTTCTCCAAAGTCAGATCCCATATCAGGTAGCAAAACGTGCGATGGATTTTACGCTTGTGAGATTGGAATCCGCTTTTTTTTCTTCTTTTTTGTGTGTATCCATTCCAAATGAAGCGATCTGTTTTGAAATGACTGCCCAAAGTGGATTCTTATTTGTACATCATACACAAAATGAAAGAAAGGAGAAAAGTGTAACATATTTTTGTATGCAGGTGCTCTGGCGTGTAATTTTGACATGCCACACATGATATTGTACATGTTACACGATAAACACGTTTAGGTTTACTTACGAAGTGCTCATTTTCTTCCAGTCTGTTGTAGAAAGCAGTGCCTGGACAAGCGGTAGTGCTCACATCACGATGCCCATATAGGGTATATCTCGGATCTAAGGCGTATCTGAAATACAAATGGTAGTATATTGAGTTGTGTGTCCGATTCGGGCCATTTCTATTTCTTTGTGTTTTAATTTTTGTATTAGATAAAAACTAGCGAACGTAGTAAAACAACAACAACAACAATTTCATACTTCACATAAGAGTATACCAGTACAAACCAGTTTAACATACCATATGATATTATGGTACACAACAAGTTGCATCATCATAAGATTTGTTATCTTGTCGGATTAGGGTGAATTTAAATGAATAAAGCATACTACATTGCAATGGTATCACAACAGGGAACACATATAGCCTACTGTTGGTTAGGAGCTGCCCCACAAAGGAATTGTCTATGTAAACCCATTTGTTTATTTGTCTTTCTTTTCTATTGGCCATGTTAATATTCTTGAGCTTGTACCTGTTGTAGTATATTTTTAATTTTGACCAAGCTGCCCTCCGAAAAGGTTTGATGGTCTTCTGTATTTGTACAATAGAGCTAGCCTTAATCATTCTTTAGCAAGGTTTAATGTACATATATGTATATAAATAGATACATATATATATATATAAGATTTGTTATCTTGTCGGATTAGGGTGCATTTAAATGAATAAAGCATACTACATTTCAATGGTATCACAACAGGGAAGACATATACTCAGGGGTGTCGATTTGTATCCGTGGTTGGGGGGATGATAGGTGCCAAAATATTTTCGGCAATGGATCAAAGCAACCAAGAGGTAGACGCGTTTGGCAGGTTGCACCCCTCCCTTCCAAGTTATTAATTTTTTCAAGTCACCCTCAATAAAGATAACATTTCAGAGAATATTTCGAGTGGTAATAAAATTAAGAACATGCTAAATGTTAGTCTAGACTCTTGCCTGCAGTGTAGGCCTACCAGACTGATATCATCTATTTTTAAACGAAATTTAGACATTACCAAAAACAATTCCAATGGTGAGGGATATCAACTTGTGAAAGTAATATGTTACCAGTGGGCAAATGCATTAATAAGCAACCAGGAATGGTTCATGTAGACACACAATTCTAAATTTTCTGATGATAGAAACATACATTTTATGAATATTGATGTCTCCAAACAACATTCAGCGTGATAAACCCATTCCAATATTATGTATAAGGAGATCTCAAAAAACATAGTTCTCATTAGTAAATGATAAATATATTGCTTTTGGTTCTTCATTTGACTCTCTTCCTTCTTTAATTAAACCAACTGAATCCTCTCTGCGGCAAACTCAATTCAATGAAACAGAATATCACTGATGCAAAATTAGGTTCTCAAAGTGACAGAAAATTTCCACTCCTGATCTCATACAAACGGTCTGCTTCTTAAAAAACATAATATAAAACTTACGTTCCAACTACCAAACAACAACTTCCATTATCTCCTTCTTCACCCAGATATACTTATCATACCAGATACGCTCTCAAATATAGGTATAATATTCCCCTAAGGCCCTGACCAGAGCACTATTGTTTTCTTCAAAAACTATAACCAGTCTTAGAAGGTGCATTATTATTGGAAGGATGTTATAAACAAAACTTCAAACTTAATAACATTCTAACCTTCAACAACTAACTAATGCCTGTTACGTTTAAATACAATACATATACCTACATGTACATCATCTTTTTAATAAAACAAAAATAAGTTGTGACATAATAATCTTTCTCGAAAATATCGAACTGGAGTATTCTGTTGTACTGCTTGTTTATGTACATACTAACAGCTTATTTCCAAGAGGCACTAGATCCATGTGTGTAACTTATTAAGAAAGAACTCTTTGTTTACCCGATTTTGTTCAGGTGTCTATGGAAAATTGTTATTAAAAGATGCACGTGTTCATAATTTCTCTCGTAGTTTAGGTTAATAATTTAGTTCAAGGTAAATAGAGGAAAATGTATATCATTATCTCCATTTGCTATCAAAAGATTTTGCTCCTTTCGGAAAAAAACTCTTCAAATGTTTTACATGTAGAGAATGAATAAACAAAGAAATGGATGAAATCAATAAAACAAAATAGATACTGAGTACGAATCAGGGAATAAACTGAAATTTTCGTCTCCTACTGCAGCCGTTTGGACAAAACCGTCTTTCTCTTGTCTTTCTTCCTTTTCTCTTCCCCCTTCCCTTTTTCTTCTGCTCGTTTCTTCCACTTTTCCCTTTTTCCCAGGTAGCAAGCTCATATGGGGCCATATGGGGATGATCTAGGTCACGTCTTGTGCCATCTGTGCTAAAGGGAACCCATATATGTATCTCATATGGGGCCAATATTTAGTAACCCATATGGGATCTATCTGGGCCAGCCCATATGGGAATTGGAATGAGCTGGGCGTACACATATGGGTAGAATATGAATATGCCCATATGTGTAACAAATGGGGAAAATCTGGGTTAACCCACATAGGATATAAATGTGTCAACCAATATGGGTACCAGATGGGATTGAGCTGGGCATACCCATTTGGGCCCAGTTTGGTATGGGTCCCATCTGTCTTATATGGGTTTACCCATATGAGTCCCATATGCTTTTTGGGTGCAGATGCCTTAGGGCCACCCCCACCTGAAATATTGGGGGATATATCCCCCACCCCCCCCCCCCCCGGGATCGACACCCATGCATATAATGTTGGTAAGGAGCTGCCCCACAAAGGAATTATCTATGTAAACCCATTTGTTTATTTTTCTTTCGTTTCTGCTGGCCATGTTAATATTCTTGAGCTTGTACCTGTTGTAGTATATATATATATATATATATATATATATATATATATATATTATACATTTGTGCTTAAGATCCTTCTTATAGTGCGGAATGCTCAGACCAAGAATGCATTTTGTTCTATTTATTTTAAGCAGAGGTGTTAAAGATTGATTTGCCTTTCTTTCTTTCTTTCGAGAATATTAACACAAATTTCTCAATATGATAATATATTGTAATCTAAACAGATTATTGATTATAAGCGTATACGCTAATTTGTAATTTGAATCAGTTTGTAATTGCTTTTTGAAAAGTATCATTCTTACGACGGCTTTGTTTATTATTCACTCTTATTCTTTATTTATTTTCTGTTATATGTTACTATGAATTTATATTTTCGATGATGTTGATATTGTTATGTTGCATTTGTTTACAGGACCCCCTGGAAAACGGTACTTTGATTAATGAAGTGGGGGTAGGGGTGGTCGCCCCCCCCCCAACAAACAAAACAAAACAATCATAAAAATAATGATACACTTTTTTTTTTTTAATAATAATAATAATCAGCAGTAAAGGAGTTTAAATGGTTTGTATTTGGTAACCGAAAAGAAAACAAGAAATAATGAAACCTGAATAAAATCCATAACAATTATAGTCAAGTCAATGAAAAGGAGAGTAATGTGAATCGAATTTCCTAAAAAATTCCGCATGCCCCTTTATTTATTAATGGAGGATTTTATAATAGCGACACGCGCATATCGTGAAAATATTGTGAGAGGATGGGAAAGCGTGTGTGTTTTTTTATTATAGGGATGAGAAGACATGAGCCCCTAAACATTGGCGTACTTATGCGGGGGAGCAGTTGCCCCCCAAATAAAATTCATACATGGTTCATTTCTAATTCGACACCAGTGATTTACAAATTTTGTTGAAAAAACATGATTTTACGGGATTTCTTTTGGAAATTATACATTTGTATGCGTTTGTTGAAAATTATAAATAGGCAAAAATTTGCTTTTTTTCGAAGCCTTCATGTCAGGTCATGCAGAACGGCGTGCTCGGGGGGCTCGAACACCCCCTCACTTCTTTTTTTTAAGAAAGAAAAAAGAAAGAATGAGTGACCTGCCAGTGTCACAAATGAGGTATGAAAATATGCTCTTCTGACCGTAATTAAGTGCCTAAAACTTTGCCCCCCTGAAAATCCCGCAAGGGCCCTAAAGAGGGACCCTGGATGGTCATCTGACCGTAATTAAATGCCTAAAACTCCTGAGCTTCACGGGGCTCAGTCTCCCGGAACCCAAGCCAATAAGTGAACTGCCAGTGTCACAAAAAAGGTATCTAATTATGCTCATCTGACCGTAATTGAATGCCTCAAACCACGAGCTTCCGGGCGCTCCGCCTCTGGACCTGACGCCAATTCGCTCACTACGCGGCTCTACCTTATCGTTAATACTCCACTTTGAAAAACGTTCCGCGGTGCCTGCATGTAACATGTAAGAGGTAAGAGTGGTGGTGATGCAGATCTTTCTCCCCCCCCCCCCCAAAAAAAGCGTTTTTGCTCATTACGCCACTGCCCCTGAAAGGTGAGCCCCCCCCCCCCCCCCGCCCGATCACAAACGGCTTCCGGCACGCCTAGACGGGGCTACTTTGTTTGAATAAAACGGAATAAATAAATAAATAAGTATATTTATGATACAAAAGATCGTTGATGCTCTTCTTTGATAAACAAAAAAGCTCAGGAAGATATAAAAGATTCTATGTTTTATGGTATGCAGCTACACCCCCCCCCCGCACACACACACACACACACACATCTTACATATTACATTCCGTTAAAGGAGAGGTGGGAATTACATCCTGTGAAAGATGTAAAACCACCTGAGAGTCTGAGACTGGTGTATGTAAGACCTACGCATAGCTGCAAAATTGCAGCGAGGCTTAATAAATCAGGTGAGGGTTACAGTGTCAAGTTCAGATAGAGTTTGGAGTTGCAAGTTCAGGCTCAGTTTTGAATGTGGTTTATGTTTAATAGAAATCGGCTGTAAAGCAGTCCGCGGCAATGATGATAATCGTACAATTATAATTTCATCATGTACTTTTTTTCTAGGATGCGTGTTATTTTCTTTGTATGAATACTTTCGGAATACTTTCGATAAATAGTGCGAAACACAAAAATGAATTGAGAAACATTGTGGATTTTATTTTCTCTTTCTCTAAAGTAAGAAACGGTAATTATTCCGACTTTGCATAATCATTCATGAGCCAAACATGAATACGACTGCTCAACATTTTTTTTATGGAACCTTTCCATGATGATATTTTTGGAACTTCTCAGATAACAATCATGCAACTTATTACGGCCTGATCTAATAAATATGTAAATTTGCGATTTATTGGAGGACTAATGGTGCTCTCACACTCTGCCGTGTAGGCCTACCGTCCACCTGCCGGGCTATTAAAAAAAAAACAGAGTCCAGAACGTTGGGTTTTGAGCGAACTTGTCCCCGGCCGCAAAAAAAAAATTCATAAAATTAATCTTTTCACCGTTTCGTTGCCATCTTCTGACCGTTCTCACCGGGTGCATACCGGGTGTTGAACGTGCTTCTACCGTCTTCACCGCCCGAATGACTTTTGTTGAAAAATTTGGCCGTTTCCATACCGGGCCCATACCGGGTATCGAACGTGTGCACCGGGTTTGTAGCAGCCACCTACCAGTCACTTAGCGTCCCCTCACCGCTCGGAGCGTCCTGTGAGCGAGTCTCCGGACTGCTGACGTCATGACACGACTGCCATAAATACCCCGATTTGAACGGCAACGGTCAGTCCGCTCTCCATTTGTCATCACCGTTCTGTAACGGGTTATGAGCGTGTTGTGAACGTGTTCAAACAGTGTGACCGTTTTCATAACGTATTCATACCGTCCTCATACCGTTCAACACCGTCCTCTTGCCGCTTACTTGCGGCCGGTGCCAGCCGGCCAAAGTTTTGAACATGCCCAAAACTTTCACCGGGTCCCACCGGGTGTAAATAAGCGCCAACGCCCTGTTAACGTGTTGCCCGCTTTGATAACGAACCACCATGTGCCCTCGCCGTTCTCCACCGTCCGCAGACATTTTCGCGCACGGTGGCACACGGTAGGCCTACACGCCAGAGTGTGAGAGTCACTTAAGAGTCGATTCAGATCAATTGCAACGGACGGGGTTCTTGTGTAAAAGTAGTTTTTTATTTCTTCCTACGATTTTGCAATACACTTGGGTTTCGCCACGTCGATCGGGACTCTTGACAGACCAACGAACGTGCAAATCGGAAAATAAAGCACATGAAAAGTAAAAGTTATGATATTTTCATTAAATTTACTATGCATGCTATAAAGATCAGTAAACGTTTTGTGGTGGCTCACTCAACCCCCCACCCCCCCCCCCCACCCCTCAGAAGAAAGGATTATTCCCGGGAATAGAAAAAATATGCTGCAAAAGATAATCACCTTCCCACAGCATAGGAGAACAAATAATCCATCGCATCTCGCTGGATTTGTCCCGGGGCTCTGGCACCAAAATCACCGATCACGGCGACACCTATTTGTAATGGAAGAAAATGACATAAATCAGTCACTGTAAACTTAACTTTTCTATGGGCCCCTGAGATGTTTGATTAGACCCTTGAAAGAGTAGGTCCTAGAATCAAGTACAATCGAGTTTTCGCTCAGCAACGGATAGACCTTCTACGACGCAGAGCGCTCAGGTTTACGGCCGTCGCACACGGACCGCCATCGATACAATACGCGGTTTCGCTTTTCGGTGAATGCGTACGTATAATACGGAGATAATGCATTTGTAATGCCATTAGGCAATTCTCGTAATGTAACCAAATTTAATGCATATAGGTATTTGTGAAGTGTCTCGATACATAATATTTCATTCACCAGATAAGCATAATAGTATTTCAATAGACAGAATCCAAACTGCATACATTAGTTGTTGCCAGTTCGACAAACATGTTCTTTCTCCAGAGCCACTATTGATCCAGGCATACAAGGTAAGCCATCACACACCAAACTAGTTCCCACAACGTTCTGTAAAATGTCGCCAAACAAGCTCAAAATTGTGTGCGAACGGAGTGAACGTAGTACCAATAGTTTATGATCTGTTTAAGAACTTCATGGAGAGGCTTGGACGGGAAGGGTGCTATAGAACTTTGAGGAAATTTCCCCTTCCTGTAATTAGACACGGTGACAACGTCCTTAAAACGAGGAGGACATACTACGAACGGAATTGCCGTACTTCGGTCCTACTAGGAACGTGTTACAACGTGCTGTGGTCGAGCATTAATTAGCAGTAGTATAATTGAACGGAAATGAGGAATGGCAAGAACGCGCTGGGTTTTTATAGACCTGTCCTTAAGCAGGGTGGTCGGTTACTGTGGACGGGGTACAGACGAGATGGACGTATTGAGCACTGTTTATAAACGATCGAGGACCATATTATAGACATTATTTACACATTCTACCCCGACCATAACCCGTTTTCACGACTTTCTAGGATGGTTCCCGAATGTAGTGAGCACTCACTATGAACATGACTGACAAAGAAAGCGGACAAAATATACAGTTCCTCAGGGAGACAAAGGAACATCCCTTTACTGCTATTATGTACAAATGTGTAGAACAGGTGTCACATGCATATTCACCTTTTTACATAATAGCAGTGAAGGGATGTTCCATTATCTACCTGAGGAACTGTATATTTTGTCCGCTTTCTTTGTCCTCCATGTTCGTAGTGACTAATTTGATGTGATGAGGGCTTACTGCTAATTGATGCTCGACCACAGCACGTTGTAACACGTTCCTAGCAGGATTAAAGTTCATAATACGGCAATCAGTCCGTTCGTAGTACGTCCTCCTCGTTTTAAGTACGTTGTCACTCCGTCTAATTGCAGGACGGGGAAATTTTGAACAAGCTGTAAGTTCTGGAGCACTCTCCAGTAATAGCCAGTCCGAGCCCATCCATGAAGTTCTTAAACAGATAGTTAACAGTTGCTACTACATTCAACTCCGTTCGCACACAGTTTGAGCCCGTTTGGCATCATTCTCCAGAACGTAGTGAGATCTAGGACTTGACTTTCTGCCTCCTCAAAGGCGGCAAGTCTTTTGGGACTGATCCTGTTTTGTTTTCTTTATCGACTTGTGAGTTGACTGTGAATGAGTGGGATTTCGAGACTTATGAAGGGCTCCTTCGTGGAGCTCATGAGCTCCTGATATGATAGTACAACTTCCTCTAGGGGCTTGTTCTGCCCCACTGTTGAATGAGCTTATTTGATGAACTATAGGACATTCATATGACATTAAAGATGATAAAAAGTTTTGGTATGGGTTCATGAATTCGGTTCAAATGAACATATTGGAAGCATATGCGATGCTACAATATTCAGTAATCGTTGTCGCGCTTGAAATCGAGTCTAAAATAATGAGACTAATAAGATAATCTATGTTGTATAGCTCCCTCTCAAGGTCAAGATATTAATTTAACTATAAAACAATTTTCTCGACTGAAATCGACCGAATGGCTATTCCCGTTTGGAAATTATATAGGCCTATCACAACTACATATTCTGAGATTTTCATGGTCGCAGCTACCATTGTATGGCCGTAGGCGCTATTTGAAATTTCATGAAAAATTACTGGGAGCACCGGTAAACTTTGATATCCATTTTTTCTCGAAAGCAGAAATGTTTTAGAGGCTAAATTTTCTAGAGCTTATAATACATCTACAGGGGCATCCAAATTTATCAAAATTGTAAAGAATCACTGTCAAGCCAATCTTCAAAATTTCCCAAAGCTTTGTATTACCTTTAAATTACCTTGAGTGGTACATGTGTATCTCACGAGCTGATGAGCGTATTTCATGAGTCGGCAAAAATGATTGAAAAGTTTTCAAATCAAGTACGACATAACTTGTATATCGCGATAAAGAATCATGAGATATGAACAACTTAAAATGCTGCAGAAATGTTTTTAAAATTTCACGGTCATCCCAGGTGAGGAACACTGCTTTTTCTTGTAGGCCCAAAAAGCCTTCATACAAATAGTAATGTTCCTTGTTTGTATGCAGTTACAATAAATGTCCGATCACCAGCTTACCTAAGGATTGTGAGTTGTATCCAGAGGCATGTGCTCCCATTTTATTCAGACCGCGTCCTTCATATATGTTCCCATCACCGCCAATGAGGAAATTGTAACCGATGTCACTCCAGCCCTTGTTATTCATGTGATAATTCTGTCGAGACAAAATAGTGATTTTAAAGGCAGCAGTTTTAACGACGTCAGTCCCACTGGTGTAATATATTTTCAATTGCGCCATCTCTCAGTGAAGATGTACGAAGGGCGATCTAAACATCATCACGCGCGCGTCACCAGTTTGTGATGCATTGTGGGAAATGGCTGTCGACACTTCCCAAAATTGTGATCAGCAGATGGCAGTATACGTAAATCTGAAGTAGTGTCAGTAGAATACACAGCCTCATTGAAAACTTGTAATGCCCATAATTATTCGGGTCAAACCAATGGGTCCGACATTAATCGGTTTCGCAGTGTGACTGGATATTAGGCCATTTGTACTAGAATCGTCATTTTTCTGACGTAGGACTGCGTCTCAAATGGTGCGTCAACGCGGTCTTGATATTGGTATACAAAGGAAAAATTGAACCTTGGACGTACTGACTGTGTACGACTAAGCAAAACAGAAATGTGTACTGATTCGAGTTGTAATTACTATCGCATTTAGTTGTAATGTTTTATATTTTATTCTGGAACCTGTATAATACACAACTTGTGCGTCTAAAAAAAAAATTCTGGCGAAGAAAGAAAGAAAGATTCATCACCTCAAATTGGAGGGGGAGTCATGAGGTATAAATTTTGTTTCACAGGGGGCAGTGCTGCCCCCCCCCCCCACGAAATCCACTATTGTATGCATCTGAAAACAAGTCTCAAAAGCCCTATTCCCAAATATTGCCTGCATGGCCATGGCGTTTGTATCGGTAATGTCACTGTGATATAGTGCTAGACAACCTTCCCAATTGTTCAAACATGAAAAATGACTAAATATCTACGGCTGAAAATCTTTGACTCAGTGTGGTCTTTTCTCTTTCATGGACCTACAATGATATCATGCTACCCCAAAATTGGGGAAAACTGATCTGATCGATTCCTTAATTCTTCCAACGAAATTATTACAATTTAATTACATGTTAGGTGAATGTAAATCGTCAAAAAGTGAGGAATTGGCTCTATATACCAATCCAGACATTGAAGTGTTGAAGATTTTTTTAAAGCCTGTTTTATATCTTATTTTCATGGAAAACGGTTGGGAAAATTCAAAAATGGTTGGGAGAATTTACTGTTGGATGGTGTTGCACAGTGAGGATTTTAAATAAAACCATAAATATCTTTGTGGTTTGAGAATTGTTTTCAGGATTTTCTGCATGTTAGAGGGTTAGTACAGTAGAAGGAATATAGTACGTAACATTTCATACACAAATTACGCAGTTTTTTCATCAACCTTCAACAATGTTACCGATTCACTATAATCTTAAGCCTATTATCTGTACCTGGATTGCTCGAACTCGTGACTTGCAGGAGAACTCGGTAGTACATGAGCTAGTAGCAGTGTGATGGACCACAGCGTATGGGAGATTAGTATTCAGGTTGGTGGTAGACGTCGGGGATCGAGCCCCCCATTCAGAGCGAGATATAATCCGAGGGCGCAACAAAGCTATATAATAGCAACACAAAAACAATACGACTAGACTAATCTGTAGATCAAGATTTCATAACCAAAGTAGGCAGGGTAAGGTATTATCGAGAATAAATAAAGCGTATGTCACATTATAACATAACGTCTTTATGGGGTTCCAAGATTGTTGATATAATCCTGCTTTAGCTCCGGTCACCATAGCGCTCAGTGCATTCAAGGAATAATTTGTGCCAGGTACCTACTTACTACAACTGGATCGAGTGTGACAAAAGAAGAATAATTGTTTGCCAAATAATGTGCTTCGGCAGAGATTCTAATGGCCTACCGTTCATAGTCTAGAGACTTATCCATTAGACCACAATACCTCCAAAAACATACCACTGAAAACTAGAATAATTGGAGGATCAAAATCATACATGATGTCCTTACCAAAGTGTTCAGGTATTGCCCTCCTCCACCTAGGTGTAGAACAATTTGAAAAACAATTTGAGAAACAATATTTGGTCCAATTGATGCTTCGCATGTGCATTATATACATTTTGGTGCATTTCACCCATTTTCCTAAAGTTTAGTGGTGGATGTGACCGCTAGGGCCACTGCCATGTTAACGGATCAAGAACACTACAATATATGTATGTCAAGTACATTAAGTATGTGAATATACACTGTTGGTCATAATGGTAGAATATTTATTTTTACCCCAATTTATGGAATGATTTTGACATTGATTTATTCCTAATAGATCTAAATAATAGTATACATTCTCAGATTTTATTGAATAATAATTTGCGAGTATTTGTTTTGCGTGACTGCTAAAGCATGTGTATGCTACTATGCTAATCAACTAGGGAGCCTACGTCCTTAAGTCATAACTGACAGTAATGAGGATTAATGCCTCACAAAAGGGCACGAATATAGCTGATCGACATGGTTTTTATTCTGGGGCCTCACAGGAACGAGGCCCCGTTGCTTAGCCACTGAATCATGATTGTACGCAGCGGGGGCTAGGGTACGTCGCCGTCCCCACAAATACCAAAAAACAAAGAAAATGCAATAAATTATCAATAATTCATTGCATTTTCCCCCGGTCCCCAATAGGAAAAATTCCTCTGTATGGCCATGTATTATTGTTGAAGGTATGCCCACATAGAGGATTTTTGTATGGGTTTGCAAGCATATTTTGGGTGACCAAACGCATGGTATCTCGAGGCCGGGTTTCGGAAATCTGTCATGGTAAGGGGCGTATTTATACGTTATTTTCATTGCATGATTATGTTACTATGGAAGGTCATCTGGGCCACAGCGCGTCATGAAAAATGCGTCATGATTCATGACGTGTTCTTCTTTCCCCAAATCCTATTCGTTTTTGACACAGTACTTGCGAGCCCTATCTTGGTACTTTCCCTTATCTCGATTGCTTTCAAACTTCGTAGATATAATCTCAGGCATCCGATCAAAATCATTGCATTTTTTGTTGTCAAAAATCACTCTTGCGTACACGTCCAGGTGCCATGTTTTCCGTTTCTAGACCGTTTAAAGGCTTTATTTTCTTCCCTCGTATTTTCACTATCATACGGGCTGCAGTTGCTGCGACTGCAGATCTAGTTTTTCTTTTTCTTTTTCATGACTATATAACTATATCCTGTCGACATTATTGTAGGCACATTAGTATTTACCACAAAAATGTTAGTCTTGAAAAATGACCAAAAATGAATAATAAATAATGGAAGAATGGAGGTCCAGAGATGTGTTTTGAATAATGTGGATTTTATTATAGATTAGAAAGAAAGTGCATGCAAAATATTAGAGAAAACAATTTTCGTAAGGGATTCTTAAAGAAGAAAAATAGATGGCAATCTAGATATTCAATAATAAAATCCATTTCAGGTTGTGCACCTGATGACATGATCATTCCAGTCAAATCGACGGGCAACACAATACAATAATCTGCAATTATACACATTTATTGATATTCCAGTTTCCAATCAATCATGTGTTCCTTAAGCTATGGTCACAACCCCAAAAAGTAGCCTGCTCGGCGGCCAGGCGGCGAGTTTCTAGCCAATTTCGACCGGGCTCCGCTTGTTTTTAGGGCATCGCTCGGTCGCCGCTGAAGTTTTAGCGCGGACTTAAATTCGGCAGCGCCTGCTCACTTTTCACTTGCCTCCCAAAATGCGTTCGGTGCCCGGGCGCTCGCCGCTTGGGCACCGACCTAATCGATAATTCGCCGTCGAGCGATTTAGGTCAAAAATCGAGCCCGCTAGGTCTAAGGCTGCCGAGCGGTGGCCGCCCAGTCGCTACCCGGTGGTCGCTGGCAGATCAGTCGGTCACTGGGCGGCGAGTTCAAAATAGGTTGGCAGCCTTTGACATCGCAGCTTCGATTTTTGACCTAAATCGCTCGACGGCGAACGCTCGATTAGGTCGGTGCCCGAGCAGCAACCTCTCGGGCACCGAGCGTATTTTGGTGCCCCGCCGATCACCGGCCGGCCTCCGGGCAATTTCAGCCGGTGGCCGGTGGGATCATCAGAAATGGTTTATCACAATTATCAAGAAAAGGTTCAAAAGATAAACCGTCAGATGACGATATGGTTGAAATATACATTGACTCCCTTTAACAGGAAGAGTAACCATATTGAAAAACTTACTTGTACCCGAACTGAATTGCCTATTTTCATTTTTCCTAGAACCAAAATTAGAAGTTATGAAGGATATTAATCGATGTTTTTTCGAATTTATAAGGTATGGCAAACGTGATAAAATAAGTTGGAAACAAATGGGCCAATTGTACAATGATGGTGGGGTTACAATGACTGACATTTTATACATTCTAAATCACTTAAAATATCATGGATAAGAAGATTTATTTGCTCTGAAAATTAACTCTTTATAATTATGTTCCAATCATTCGTGCCTCCATCGAATACATCTCTTCAGGTAATAATGGGGGCTGAATACAACAAACAATTAGCCACTACAATGCGCAACCCATTTTGGGAAGAGCTTTTATTAGCCTTTCCAGATCTTACTCAATTCACTGTAGATGATATTGCATGTCAATTCCTTAAGAATAATCCTAGAATACAAGTTAATAATAACGTAATGTATTTTAAGTCTTGATGTGCTAAGGGGGTACATTACGTTAACGATGTTTTAGAAACAGATGGATCATTGCTCTCATATTTTGATTTTCAACGTAAATACATTGTACACGTAAACTGTGTTATTATGACATGGAAAAGTATATGTAAAACATATCTGAAAACAATTTATGAAAAAGTGATTACTTTTTGCAAAGTGTTTTTGATTGTTTATTTTTTCTAAATTATTTTCCCAAGTAAATCTGTGATATTTCAAATATGAACTGCAATTTGTAACTGATATCTATAAATATATGTTCTCATCATATTTTGAATGGCCAAGAATATCATTTTGAAATTCTGCATGTATATATCTCTTCTTGTATACATATGCCATGTGACTGATGTTATTTAATAAAGGAACCATGTGGATGGCAAACAAATATCGGTATTAAACAGACCTTCATAACTTGTTCATGACCTACAGAAGACTAAGTTTTTAATTTGTTTTAAATGCTTATAATTGATTTGTAATGTTTTGTTGGAAACATGAATCAATTTGAATTTGAATTTGAATTTGAATTTGAATTTTGAAGTTGAACTTGAAAGTCGTTTGTACGTGCCAATATTGAGTTGAACAAAGATCCCGGCCAACCCCCTCCCCTTGCAACTCGCTTTTCAATGTCTTTCATTACATGGTACCAGATAAAAAGAAAGGCTTCTGAAAGTTAATGAATTGCAAAATGCACATTATTGATCGTAACAACATTGAAAGTTACTTCCATGCACTAACATTATTGAAAAATTCCTTCCCACTCTATGGAAAGAAACACAAGGCATGATATTACGAATTATTTTATATTTTACATGCGGGAAGAAAATAGAATTTTGATGAATCAAAAAAATCATTCAATATCACAGATACATATATTGAAGATCAATCTTCATCCATCGCCGTTTGTCAATACACGTAATGCGAAAAGTTCCTTCTCTTGACAAGGAATACAGGTTCTCTGATTTAATGGAAAAAAAATGTTTTGATATCGTAGACCATCGCAGTACTGGGCCGACGTCATTACATTTCTGAGCCGATTTTATCTTCCCCCTCCCCCCAAGGAACCATGAAATCCCTTGATCTTCTGGGGGGCGTTTCATCAAACATTTAGTCGGGGGTTTTCACCGACTAATATCATTTTCACCGACAAATTCATCATCACCGACTAATTTCCATTTCATGAAATTTTGTCGGTGGAAAACACCGACAAATTTCTGTAAGTCACCGACTAATTTCAATAATTTAGTCGGTTGCCTTGGACCTCCCGACAAAGTCAATTTACACCGACTAATTACTTTCAACAACCAAAAAGGCACCAAAAAGGGCAAAATGGCAGCAATCATGAATATCCTAGGGGTTGCTGCCCTCGGTAGAGAGTGTGTTTTCCGGGACCGTACAAACCTAGAGTCGATGCAGCTATGTTATTAAAATACAGATTTACTAGGGAAGGAGTGTTATACATGATAAATGAGTTAAACGACGAGTTAGAGCATGCCACAAAGAGGAGCAAGGATCTATCTGCCCATCTGCAAGTCTTTGTAGCTTTGAGATCTTTTTTGTGTGACAATAGAAGGGTGACGCAAGTCATATGCGGAAAGAAAAACCAAGTAAGTATTGCCTTTTTTTTCCTGAAATGAACTGATTTGAGCTTGAAGTTCTATGAAAAGTAGACCCAATACCATCGCAATGTACAAAATTGTTTGTTTGATTTTTTTTTTAAATTGGGACCTAAAATTGTATTCCATTCTTTCATTCAGTTTAATTTAGATAACAAAGGTGAATGAATGGGGTCTAACGATAAGACTAAGCGTGTAGATTCAGACTCCACATTCACCCAACTTTATTACCCTTTTTTTTTTTTTGGTAGAGACAACGAAATTAAAATA